ATACAAACTTTTCAGTGCAAAGTTATGGGATATACTTGCAACAAACATATTTAGGTCCCCGTAATAAATTGTCTTTCCACTGATCTACTTCATCAGAGATGGACTTGTCATTATCAAAAAAGCACAGACAAAAGCAATACACATTAATAAATTTTAACTTTTTACACCAAGAGATTCTCTGGAAACTAGCTGGCCAAAAGGAGAATTTACTGTATTTTAATCCCCCTCCCCTTTTACTTCTCAATAGTGTGCTGGATGTTCTTAAAATCAGAATTGAAAAACAGCTCAGTCTTGCTTCCACTGCCCAGTACAGGACAAATGTCACTGCTGCTCTCATGGTGTGATGTGCCTGATATGGCAGTTTTGCTCTATTTGTTTTTTTTCTACCCACTCCAGGAAGCACTGACAGGCAAGAGGGAAAGCATTCCAAGGGGAGACTTGAGTTCTGTCCATCACAGTATATTATTCAGGAAACCTGACACTCCTTTACTGTATTTGCTTGGTATCTCACACCTCATCAGCACACCTTGTTATCAGCAGCACTGTAAGGATTTGTCATTCACTTCACTTCCTTGTCTTAAGGCAAAGGTTCACAATGGGCTCTGATTTAGACTTTGTTCTAACAAAGTAACATAACCAGTAGAAAGACGTTTTTAAAAATATTTATTACATTTGTTCTAGAAACAATAGAAAATAAAAATTGGTACATATGTCACATAGCTTTAGAAAGGCATATTTGTCTTTTCACACCAGAGGAAAGGTTATGCGATGCCTAGAAGGAAACAAACACCTAAGCTGTTGGTGACACAGTAACACAGCTGGGAGCTGGAGCCCTTGTTATGTTTTAAAGATTTCTTCTCTGTTGTTATTTCGTTTGGGGCAAATCCTAGTCCACTGAAATAGGCCTGAACAGAAAAGGCACCTAGAGTAAAAATTAGACCTTAACTAATAAAAAAAATACCAGCAAATGTTTACATAAGGAAAAAAGCCCTATTATAGTGGAACTGCCCTGTGAGGCTGTAATAAAAATGCAAATGCTATTGTAACTAAGCAGTCTATAAAAGCTTCCATGAACCTGGTAGAGACACATGAGCTGGATGGTAACAATCACTTCTGTCTTTAGAAATCTGGGACTGTTTTATCACCATTAAATGGGACTGTAAGTACTGTACTCTATTTAAGCAGGAGCTTTCAAATTACTTGTTCATAATCAAGATCTGTTTTGTTGTACTTATTTCTTAAAATGCATTGTTTAATATAGTCCAATCAAAAAAAAAATATAGTCCAATCATAGATGTATTAAAATTTCTACTGTCCCTTAAGAACACAGCAAACACAGAAACCTGCTACTTTAAACCAAAGTCGTTAAAATTTTAAAGCCGGTACAGCTCACATTTTACTATCATTGAAGCACCTGAAATATATCCTGACCAATTTGATATTCTCTGAGCAAGAATTAGGATCCTCAGGATTTGTTCATGTGTACAAATATGGCAAATTATTGATTTAAGCTAATAAAAATTTGAAAAATATACAAATAATCTTTTACTATAAAGATTCAAAACCCACATAAGTCAGTCCTAAGAAAAAAATTAGCAGGGAGCCTGTTAGCAACACCGTTCTCTAACTGGTGGACACGGTGCTCAGCGGAGCCACGTCGTGTTGAGCTGAGTCTGGTTTTTGATGCTCGTGTCCATTTTCAGCACTTCTCGGATGGCCATGGTAGCATACGTGGAAGGAGGAAGCGAGAAATCCATCTTGAGAGCCTTGTATTTGCCTTCTGCCGGGGAAGAAAGAAGAGGCCTGTCAGAAAAGGAAAACCAACCGCACCCACACTGGAGGCCTGGAGAATTAGACCTGGGAAGTGGGAGGTCTGGGAACACTTGATGCATGACAGCATCTCTGGTAACCCTTCTCATGTGCTGTTGTTCATAGATGCTGAGGTGGACGCAGCTCACAGCTGGCCCTCCAGCAGATTTTTAGAGGCTGTAAATCACATGGCCGGAGACTGCCCAGCTTTCTTTTTCCTGAGCAGCAGCTGATGGATCTGAACCACCAGCCTCTGCGTTGGCAGTGCGACTTCCAACCCACAAGGCCACCAGAGTAACCTGCCTCCTAATTAGGAAGTCTCATCAATAGGGCAGACAGCAGAAAAAAATCCAAGAGAGAAATAAATGCATGTAAAAAAAATTAAAAGCAACACAAATTAGGGTACAAGGAAAAACTGCCAAAAAAGCATTAACAATGAAAATGCAAATTTTACTCTTTAGGTTGTTAATTTTCTCTTATCCATGTTAACATCATAGATAGGAAAAGATTCACTTGCCTGATACACCAACCACTGATAACTGGAAAACCCAGTCGCTGTGGAGTCGATTCTGACACAAACCCTCAACACACAGGGCAGAAAATGCTCTGTGCCGACTCCAGGACTGGCACTATGACCTTTCAGAAGCAAGTGGTCAGGCCCTTCCTCTCTGGCACCTCTGCATGGGCTAAAACTGCCAATCTTTCGGTTAGCTGCTGCTGTTGTGTGCCACTGAGTCAAAACCAACCTATTAGTGACACTTCAGCAGGTTTTCAGAGACAGTAAATCACATGGAATGACACTGTCCAATTTTCTCCTGTGGGAGAAAGGTACATTCAAACCATGTAGCCTTGGGTTGGAAGTGCAACTCCTTACCACTAAGCCAACAGACTGGATTGATTGGATCTACAATCAATACATTTGGTACCAGCAGTCAGGAGATCAGGAGAAATATTGCACTAGGAAAGTCTGTAGTCAAGAGACCTTTACAAATTATTGAGGGCCAATAATGTCAGTTGGAAAACTAAGGTGCACTCGATTCAGGTCATGGTCTTTTTAGTCACATGCTATCCATCTGAGAGCTGGATAATGAACAAGGATGACAGAAGAAGAATTGACACTTTTGAGCTGTGGTGCTGGAGAAGAGTAATGAATGAATACCCCATGGACTCCCAAAAGAACAGATATGTCTTGGAGAAAGTGCAGCCGGAGTGCTTCTTAGATGCAAAGATGCTAAAGCATCATCTCACACACTTTGGCCATGTTGCTAGGAGAGGCTATTGTTTAGAAAGGGACATCATGCTTGGAAAGGTGGAAGGTTGGTGAAGGAGAGGAACTCTCAACCAGATGGACTTGAGTGTGTCACAGATTGTGAGGATGGCACAGGACAAAGTTGTGGTCTGCTGCTCACAGGGGTGTTGTGAGTGGTACTCGACAGCATTTTAAAATAACAACAAGAAGTCACTAGAGTTCTTCATGCTTTGTGCCACACAGGGACCCTTCAACCGACACTTATTCTCAGTGGAATTTATGCCGTTAGTCCCCGACCTCAAAATTACAGCAATGAAGCCACAGGACTGGTGACTACAAGAGCTGCTTTTATTGTGCGTTTCTGTATGAAAAAACATTTTAAAGTTGACATAGGAATAAACTTTCTTTCACAGCAGAAAGTTACATGGAAGATATCTGAGATCCATATGATTTAGACATCTTTTTGTATTTAGCATGTTTTTGTTATGTGCCTTCGAGTCAGAACGGATTCCAGATGACCTTCCAGCGGGTTTTCAGGGGCTGTGAGTCATATAAGAAAATCAGCTGGTGGATCTGAACTTTGTGCCTTGGAGTTGGCAGCACAACCCCTTACCACTAAGCCACCATAGTTTCCTGTATTTGGCATCATCTGTTGCTTACTGTGAGAGACTGCAGTACAGGCTTATAACTTCCTAGTATGCTTCTGACCTGAAAAGCTAAGAGAGTTTGTTATGGAAGTGGGATCTTCAGCAGATTCCATTATTCTCATTCCTGCCAATTCAGAATTCTCAATGAGGTCTGTAAATGGGGTCAGGAAAATAAAGAAGCTAAACCTGAAGTGTGGTCTGTTTTACTGAGAAAAGTCTACAAATCTGAGTGCTTCAAGAAAATGGGCTGAACTGCTTTTAGTAATTTAATCAATGGGTAAGAAACATACTGGTAATGAAGTAGTTTAGACAGTAATGGGCTAAGGTTTAGGAAGGAAACGTAAAATATTTTTATACTAGTAATGAAGATTAAATTCCAAGAGGGATCATGGCTTAAAAAAACAAACCACACAACTTAAGAATAAATTTAACAGTAAACACTGACAAGCTGATTTAAAAATCTGTGAAAACTCAAAGGACTCAATAACTGTAATAATTAAAAAAAAAGCAAAACAATGTTGGAGAGGACTCTTACTTCTTGACTTAACAGAACACTTATTATTGCTAATCTGGCAAAACCAAAAGTCTGCCGATTCCGGTTCACAGTGGCCCTACAGACAGAGTGGAACTGCCCTGGTTTCTGAGGCTGTAATCTTCGTGCAAGCAGACTGTCACATCTTTTTCACACAGAACAATGACGGTCTGAAGCATGGACCTTTCAGTCAGTAGCCAAGGGCTTCATTGTGTTACCACCAGGGCTCTTTAATAGTAACAAAACCTCAAATTCACTGCCATCTACGTGGTTCTGACTCACAACCACCCACCACTGTGGCTCTGAGCCTGTAAATAAGGAAAGTCTGTCGTCTTTCTCCTGGAGAGGTGGGTTTGAACTTCTAGTGATGCCTGGCCTTTGGGTTAGCAGCACAACTAGCTACAGACTCCACCACCAGTGCTGTCCTTAGTATGGCAATTCTTCCTCCCAGCAAGGGAGCGCTAGTGGCTTGGTGGGTGAGGAGCTGCACTGCCAACCCAAAGGCAGGTGGTTTGAATCCACCAGCTACTCTACAAGAGAAAGCTAGGCAATCTCTTTCCATTCAATTACAGCCTTGGAAAATCTGCTGCTGGCTCAGCTCTAAATATTTGTGGCAATGAATTTTTACTTCTTCGCAAATTAGTCTGCAGAATGAATACAACCCCTCTCAGTTGGCTTTTTTTTTGGAGGGTATATTGGTAAATGCTTTGTTATGTAATTTTATAACAACACACATACACATGTATTGTTATATCTATACCAAGTAAAGCCTATGAGTGATTACTTCTTAAATATAACCCACCACTTCTAGGATTAGTTTTGTTGGTGTGAAGACTTAGTGTTACAGTGTCATGGTACAAGTCACAGAATTTTTATTCTATATTCTGGTTTGGTGACTAGTGTCTAAAATCTAAAGCTTGTGAGCAGTCATCAAAGATACAATTATTGGTCTCCATTCATCTGAAACAAAAGAGAAAGCAAGAAACCCAAGACTTAAAACAGGACCCAGTCCACACGACAACCCCATGGACCTCGGTGCTTCCTACCTTGAGACCAGAAGAACCAGACTGGGACTGGCTACCACTATGCAGTGATCAGGGTCACAACAGATGAGCTCCGATATAAAAGGAGAAAAATGTGGTACAAACTGTAAATGTCAAAGAGGCTAGATTTACCGGACCACTGAGACAGGAGGAATTCACTGCCCTGAGATACTTTTTAATCCTTAAACACAAACTGTTCCCTGAAGTCACCTTTTTGTTGCTGAGCTTATTGTGTTTTAGGTAAAACTTTACACAGAAAATGTGTTTTCCCATCAACAATTTATACACCACTGTTCTGTGAGTCCTGCTATGTGTCAACATTTTGCTTATTTCTACCCGATTGTCCCCATTTCTATCCTTCAGTTCCCTGGACTCTCCTCTTTGCTTTTATGCAAATGTTGCTCCTTTGATCTCACATGGCTAACTGTTTTGAGGACCACATTCCTTGTGGGTGTCAGTGTTTATCTTGTAGGACAATCTCTTATCTGGCTTAAAGGTGACTGGAACTACTTCAGCTCCAGGTTAAAGGGGGTCTTTCACTGGGTGATGGTCTCAGGGTCCTCTAAGCTTTCATCAGTCCAGCAAGTCTGCTCTTTTCTTAGGAATCTGAGTTTTATCCTATGGCTTCCTTCCATTCTAAACAGGACTTCTGGTGCATCTCTGCTCCGAGCTCATGTGTGGAAGGCAGGCACCAGCTAGTTAGTTCTTTTGGTCTCAGGCTGGAGGAGACTGTTTGTGTGCACACCAGCAGTCTGGACAAACTACTTCCCTGAGTGGTTTTCCTTCACTCTTTCTCCCTATTGTGAGATGCCTTTCCTGTCACCAAAATGAACATGCGTCCGCTATCTTGTAAGCTACGCTCCTGTCCTCACTTCTCATCCTCGTTGTTCTGCTAGTTGGAACTGACCCACAGCTGACACTTCAGCAGGTTTTCAGAGGCTGTTAATCACATGAGAGCAAACTGGCCATCCTCCTCTCATAGCTCGGCTGGTGGGTTTGAACTGCCTGTCTTTGGGTTGGCAGTGCAACATTTTATCCAATAGGCCACCACTGCCTGGTTAACCCTAGCAACCATTAAAAAACACTAGTTTCTATGATTAGTCAAAAACCCAATTTTGACTTTTTATAAAAGTGGTATCATATTTGTCCTTTTGTGACTGATTTATTCTGCAAAATGTCCTCTAGGGGCACCCAAACTGTTTCATAGAATTACCAAAGAAGTTCTCTTTTATTAAATAGCAGATTAGAATAAAAAGCAACGAATGTCACCCTTGAGTACTGTGCTCTTTTAAAAATTTATATATATGAGACTAAATGGATGACAGTTACTGTAAAATATAGATGAGAAGGTTGAGGGGAGGGCAATGAGACTGAGTTAATGGGAACGAAACAAGTAGAGTGGAAATGATGTAAACACTGCAGCACAATGTGGAGGACAACCAACGTCGCTGAACTCTGTGCAAAAATTGTTCAATGGGCATCTGTTTTGCTGTCTATTTTCCTTTTCTTCCACTGCCATATACGTTCATCAAGAACATATTTAAACACAAAATAAGACACACCCCCCAACATGATAGAGGCATAAGGACACTAAATCAATGGACCAGAACTTAAGAATCCAGACATAAACCTTCCTATTTATGGCCAACTTGTTATCAACAGGAGCATCAAACAATTCAACATTGCATTTCTTTTAAATAAACTGTTTGTTCTGGACAACTGTATTGTCTGTATGCAAAAGAACGATATTGAACTCCCATCTCATAATATATAAAAAGTAATTCAGGATGGATCAAAGGGCTATAACATGTTTAGAAAGAAATATGATCTTGTGCAACAATGAATGTGTATTAAAAAAAGAAGAAGAAAGCGTACTGGGGAGGGAATGGGAGGAGAAGGGAGGAAAATGTATTAACAATTAATGAATGAAAATGCAACTTTTCTGTAAACTTTCGTTAAAATCACCATTAAAATAAAAAAAAATCTATTACAAAAAAAAAGTAGTACTAAAGAACAAGGAAGCCAGTTTAAAGACTGAGGTGCCCTTGACTCAAGCAGGTGTTCAGGGTTAATCACGTGGGAGAAGACTGCCCATCTTTCTCCCACAGAGCAGCTTCTGGACTCAAACCTTGAACTTTTGCGTGTCATGTTGCTCTTAGGTAAAGCATCAGGTAAAATTCTCTTGAATGAAGTTACCTTTAGGACAATTATATTGATGAGATTTCTGAACAGTGGTTTTAAAAATTACTTCCTGTTTGAAACTGTGTTCAAAACTGAGCTGTCATTGCCAATGTTATAAAATTCTTTATGAAATCTTATTAAATATCAATCTAGTTATAACACTGTTATTGATATGATCTCACCATATTATTTGAAAGATAAAATCATGAATTACAAAAAAGAAACATTATCTTTTATTAGGCAAGAGTTTAAGATATGATACTAAAAGCAGAAATGACAGAAAAATTATGTATTGGACTGCATCAAAATTGTAAAACTTCTGTGCTTCAAAGAACATGATGAAGTAGAAAGACAACCCAAGAACAAAACAAAGTATTTACAAATAAAATAGATGAGGGATTTGTATCTGGAAAATATAAAGAACTTTGAAAATTTAATAATAAAAAGACAAATAAATAACCCAAGGTCGTATAGCCTTGATCTGTGCACTGCTGTACAGAGGTAACTCGTGGTTCCTGTGAAGCTTAATACTGTGCCACTGATGTGTCAAATGTGAGAATGTTTACCCATGGTGGACAGTATTTGGTGGAGCTCCCCAATTAAAACAAGCTTGAAAGCAGGAGTAGTAGCCACTTCTGAAATAGCTTACCTCTGGAAACCCTATGAAAGGATGAAGGTTATATAAGTGTTCAGGTCTTTAGTTCATAGTGTCTTTATGAGTTGTCTATGACTCGACAGCACTTAACAACAACAACAAATGTTGGGTTACAGTTTAAAAAAAAACCTGATCCCAGAGGTACTGCAGTTTGAATCCACCAGATGCTCTGCTGGAAAAGGAGGGATAGTCTCCTTCTGTACCAGCCAGATCCAATTTGACGGTACACACAAAAAAATAATAAAATTAAATTAAAAAAAAATTTGAAAAAAAAATTTGGACAGACATTTCTCCAAAGATACACAAATGGTCAATGGGCTTGTGAAAATGTTCAACAGCATTAGCCACCAGAGAAATGGAAATCAAAACTACAATGAAAAATCATTTTCCTCCTCATAAGACGGCCACAGTCAGTAAGAAAGAATTACAAGAACTCTCGCAGTGTGGAGGAACTCTCAATCACAGTTTGTGGAGAGGTAAAACAATGTGGTCATTGTGGAAAACAGTCTGGCCTTTCTTCAAGATGTTAAACATAAATTTCCTATCACTGCTGTTCTTACTGTATGATCTACTCCTAAGTAGGGCACTTTGGGGACTTGTGCTGCTCACCCAAAGTCGGATCCATGGGAGAGAGAGGGGCAATCTCCTCGCTTCCAGAAAACCCTGTGAAGGGTCTAGTTGGTTGCTACTCGACAGCAGTGAGTTTCTAAATGTATATTCCTACGTATATCCTCCCATAAAACAGAAGCACGTCCACAGAAAAATGCAGATATTCATGTCTGGATCAGCATTATCCAGAATGGCCAAAACACAGAAACAACCCAAACAAACTGACAAATGGAAAGTAAAACGGGGTATATCCAACAGATGGCTGAGGATACCTGCTAAAAGATTTTCGGGGTGATAGAAATGTTCTGAAACGACATATACTAAAAGTTAACAGTTCTTTTAAAGGAGTGAAGAGTGTGGTATTTGAATCTCAATAAAGCAGTTTTTAAAAATAAAGTAAAATCAACTGATTCAAAAACTCAGCACATTCATCGCATACAGATGTCCCTTAGCTCAAAAGACAGGGTCCTCTTCAGAGAAAACTTGCTGTTAGCTGGTCTCTGTATGCCCCGTGCAGGTGAGCTGGAGAAGTGGGCTTATAGCACCCCTAAAGCACAGTAGCCTTGTCTGAAGAAGTCAGTCCTGGAGACACTGTGGAGATGGTGCTATTGTTGCCAAAGAGGAACAAACAGCAGAGACGAGAGGCAACAGAAAATAACACTGTCCTGCTAATGCACCACTGGGCTTTCTGATGCGGAGCAGACCTGACTGAATACTCCGTTACTTTCTCTAGCTGGACGTCCTAGTTGTGAGTCTAGGGGCCTACGTTTGCAGCAGACCACCTCCAGCCAGCCCAGGGCTTAGCCATCCAGCTAGCTCGGGGGTCTCCTGTCAGTTAGCAACATTCAGGGGCTTTGCTGTGGTTGTTAGGTGCCCCTGATTCAACTACAACTCACAGAGACCCTATGAGCAACAGATGAGACCCACGCCCCATCTTGTGCCATCTTCACAGTCTCACAGCCTTGTGGTTCCAAGTCACCCTATGCCTCCTTCCCTGAACCTCATCCTCCAGAGCCGAGACCCTGGCTGGATCCATTTTCCTGCTTAACAGTAAAATGTTTACATTGAGCACCTTTTGAACTCTGGTGGCATAGTGGGAAGGACTTGTGCTGCCAACCCAAAGATATATAGTTCAAATCCATCAGCTGCTCTGTGGGAGAAAGATGGGTAATCTCCTCTTCTGCAATTTACTTACTGCCCTTGGAAACCTACTGGAGGGCCAGTCAATTCAACAGGACACAACTACCACCATTCACTTGTCACTATTCTCTTTGGATTCTGATTACAGATTTTACATCAGAGGAAAGAGGAATAAATGTGATTGTCACGTGTCCCTTTCTCAATCCCCGCTTATAACCTTAAACGCCTACAGTGCAAACACATTCCAACTGTTGTCCAAGCCACCTTAGAATGGAGAGAATGGAGCCTCTAAGGACCACATTCCTTGCTAGCACACCCCCTCAGGGTAATGTACCTTGACTCCTAACACTGTTGGCTACAGTCAGGGGGAGCTGATGGACATGCCAAGTTAAGTTTATTCTTATGCAAGCTGCCACCATCATCATATATTCTCAATATAGTAGCTTGTGAGGGATTAGACAAGGATGGAGCAGGAGGCTGGGCATAGGCAGCATGACATAATGGGTACAGTGTCTCCCTCCTCTTTCTAGCACAAGCTGTCTCTTGTCTACTAAAGCCCCCTCCCCGCTGGTGCTCCCCGCCCAGGGGAGTGTTCTACGTCCACCGACTCTTCTTCCCCTAGTTTCTTCTTATTTTACTTCTCCTTATCCTTCTGCAAATAAAACCTCCTTCCAGCTTGGTCAGAAGGAAATACTTGTTATTAAATGTATTGACCTTATGTAGTATGTTGTTAAGTGTCATCAAACTGGTTCAGACTCATAGAGATTCTGTATAATAGGAGGAAACAGTGCCCGGCTCTGCGCCATCCTCACAGTCGCTCAGGTTATTATTCTGATGCCGGTGGAGTCTCAGACAATGTGAGCTGGAAGACTTCCAGGTTGTTGGAGGAAGATTCTTGGCCAGGAGCCTCTTCCCTTTTCAGTGTTGCCCAGTAGCAGAGAGTCTTAACTACTGGTTGGGGCTTCAGGATCTCAAAGTCTTTATGCAGATTCCTACTTTTCCCTGAGGTTAACTCTAACAATGTTATTTAAGCTATGTTCCTACAGAATCCTGGCAACTTCTTGACAATTACAACCTGCCCTTGTCCCAGGAGTGGGCTCTGCCTCAAAGTCCCTGGAAGGATCTTACTGCAAGGTCTGGCTTGTCCAGATTATGGGATGAATCATTTGTAGTCTTGATCTAGGCTGAGCCAAAAAACCAACCAGAGGGTGAGTCCTGGTAAGTGAAGGGCCAGCAGGGCTGACGAGTAAACTTACCAGAAACAAAAACTGGGGGTGGCTTCCCTTCTAGGTTGTCTACATCTGTGTTGAAGAGTGGGATTTTCGGATCATCATATGCAACAACTTCCCTTTAAAACACATAAATGAAAAAGTTAGCTTGAAGGTGAATTTTCCTAAGTTGCCCAGCACTATTTATTTGGTAAGAAAAACAGGTTGATTAATAATTATAGAAAAGACTAGTCAATAACAGAAGGGCATCAGATTTTATTTCTAAGCACTGCCTTTTCACTATTATACAGCAAGAAGACAGATGATGTTAGCCAATATAAAAAAAAACTAAAAATGTTTCTTCTAGGATGAAAAAAAGATTATTTTTTTGCTTGTAATATTTATTGAAGTTGTAAAAAAAGAATCTTTCACAAATGAAAAAGACATTATACAGAAAATAATTTTCCCTCAGGAAGAAGTCTCTGCTCACTCTTAACAGGATGGAAATTCTTTTAGTATGAAATATTAAAACATGAACCTTCACTTTGCCCATGTGATATAATTAACATTTCCTCTAGAGTAGCTGTGACTAGCAGCAAGCAGCCTCTTGTTATGAACAATGGACTGCTTTCTCGGTGGGGAAAACGGGCCAACACTGCCAGGGTCGTGCCCACAGGACAGAGGAGAGGACAAGCGCAATGCAATCCTTTAGGATGCTAATTTGCTAATTCCAGCAATCTGGTAAGTGAGCTCAGCATTTTTTTTCTTTTAAAGTATCAAATAAAACTCTAGAAAATCCTAGGCATTACAGCATTTACAAATGTATAAACACAGACATCGTTATTGGTTTATAAACATGTCATTCAAATAAACAGATTGGTGTTAGAAATTCACAGCTAATTCTGATTAAGTTAATCTGGGCAGGAATGGTTTGGAGCAAGCCATAGTTCAGAAATGGGGTGGAGGAAAATCCTACTCTACAAAGGTACTTCAGCAAATTAATTTTAGCAAAAACGGGATCTTAAATAGTAACTCACTTCTACTTCATTCCAGATGATTACTCACCAGCTAACATTCTGAGGACGAATAATGATCTTCCGGTAGGCTCCTGACAAGGAGTAATCTCGGATTTTGTGTCTCATGTTGTCAATATCAAGACTGTCTGCTGTGAGCATTTCCCTGTAGGCTTCACTAACTGATGTAAAAAAGACACACACACACACAGAGTTAGCTGGAACACAGGACATCAGTAAACTAAACAAACCTGCAAATAAAATATAAGTTCATCTGGATCATCCTAGTCATCCCAATTTACAATACAAAGTTTGTTCTCTAGACTGAGTAACTTAGCCCTAGGTCTAGCAGCTTCTGGGTTAGGTTTGGCCCCGTTGTATGCTGCTTGTTCAGTCAGTCACAGAACCTATGGTATAAGGTTCCCAAGCTAGTTAACACAAGGCCATTTTACCTGAAGTTGCTAAATTTCTATATGTTCCAAGTTGGAGGAACCGTCTTTTTTTTTTTTTTTTAGGAACCTTCTACAGATAGTTTAAATTCTTCCTGGAAGAAGTTAGTCATAAATAAGTGTATAAAAATAAAAGACCTGGGAAAACCATCTGGTTTACCCCTTAACACCTCACGTAGAAATCTGTTAAGAGTCAACCCAGTCTTTGCTTGAACGTTGCTATTTGCAGGGATCTTACTTCTTGTTGAAGCATTAAACTATTAGAAGTTCTTATATACCAAGCTGAAATATGTCTTCTTACAAATTCTGTTGAATGCTTTGAAATACAGAACTCTCACTTCTATGATATGGATTAGTAAGTATTAGATCCAAAAGTCATACCTTTTTTTAGAACTGGTTAATTTCACTATCTCTTGTTTAATTTTTTTTTTAACTTGAAAGAGGGAAAATTTTTATCTCTGTTCCAAAGATATGGGCCTCTCCTCTAAAATTAAAAAGTGTATATTTAAAAGGCGTATCCTGGAGATCTCTGGTGGCCTAGTGACAAGAAGCTGCACTGCAGTCCCAGAGGTATGCACTTTGAATCCACCAGATGCTCTGCTGGAGAGGGAGGGGCAATCTCCTCCTGTACCAGTCAGATCTGATTTGACAGTACACACACAAAAAATAATAAAATTTAAAAAAACAGAAAAAAAAGATGCATCTTTCACTAAACCTCTTATTTGCCTCTGGGTACAGGCTTATGTTCAACAGTAGTAACTCTAGATATTTTTAATATATACTAGTACCAAATTGAATCTTTTCTATGTACGCATTTGCTCTTTCAGTTTAAACATTAGAATTTACACTTACTTCCATGTCTTCTACAGTTACTTTCTAGATGCTTATTTTCATATGTGTTGTTGTTGTTATGTGCCGTCAAGTTGTTTGCGACTCATAGCGACCCTATGTACAACAGCCCTAAACCCTGCTCTACCCTACTGCGCCAACAGTACTGCCTCCAACACACCCACCCCGATTACCCCAGTTACCGAGTCAATCCATCTCATAGAGGGTCTTTCCCTCCTACGCCGTTCCTCCACCCTCCTAACCATGATGTCCCTCTCCAAGGACCCGTCCCTCCTGGCAACATGTCCAAAGTATGTCAGATGAAGCCCCAGAATCCTTGCCTCCAAGGAGTTGCTTGGTTTAATCCTCTCCAGGATGAATCTGTGTTTTCCTGGCAGTCCTTGGTACATTCAGTACTCTTCTCCAGCACCACAGCTCAAAGGCATCAACTCTCCTTCTGTCCTCCCTAGTCATTGTCCAACTCTCTGATGTATAGCAAGCGGTTGCAAAGACCATGGCCTGTATCAGGCGCACCTTAGTCTCCAGAGAGACCCTGTTGCTCCTGAGTACTTTAGAGAGGTCCCTAACAGCAGACTTTCCCATCGCGATACGCTTTTTTATTTCCTGATTGCTGGTGCCAAGAGTGTTGACTGTGGAGCCGAGCAAACTGAAGCTGTGAACAATCTCAATCTCTTCGCCATCCATCCTGACGCTGCCAATTGGTCCAGTGGTGAGAATCTTTGTCTTCTTGACATTGAGCCTCAGTCCATATTGAAGGCTGCAGTCCTTGACCCTCCGCAGCAAGTGCATGAGGTCCTCCTCAGTTTCAACAAGCAGGGTTTTGTCATCTGCATAATGTAGATTGTTAACAGATCTTCCACCAATCCTGGTGCCACAATTCTCCTCTTGTTAAGTGCCACTGAGTACGACTCATAGCAACCATCCTGTGCCATCCTCACACTTCCTGACACACACAAGAGCCCAGCAGTCACAGTGTCAATGCACCTGACTGAAGGTCTTCCTCTCCTTTGCTGACCCTCCACTATTCCTAGCATTGTGTCCTTCTCCAAGGAACAACCCCTCCTAGCAACATGCCCAGAGTATGTGAGGCGAAGCCTCCTTATTCTTGCCTCCAAAGAACCCTCTGGCTGCACCCTCTCCAAGACCAACCAAACTACCTGTTCGTTCTTTTGGTCATTCATGGGATATTCAGCGCTCTTCTCCAACACCACAGTTCAAAGGCATCAATTATTCTTGGGTCATCCTTATTCATTGTCCAGCTTTCAGATACACAGCAAGTGATCAGAAAGACTATGGCCTGAATCAGATGCACCTTAGTCCTCAAACAGACATCATTACTCCTCAATAATTTGAAGAGGTCCCTAACTGCAGATTTTCCCAGTGTAATGTGTCTCCTTATTTCCTGACTGCTGATACCAAGGGTGTTAATTATGGAGTTAAGCAAAATGAAACTGTTGACAGTCATGATGTTGCCTATTGGTCTAGTGGTAAGAATCTTTTTTTTTCATGACACTGAGATGCAATCTATACCAAAGGCTGCATTCCTTGATCCTGTGCAACATGTGATTCAAGTCCTCCTCACTTTCAGCAAGTAAGGGTGTGTCATTTGCATACTGCAGGTTATTGATGAGTCTCCCTTTGATCTTGATGCCACATTTCTCTTCACAGAGTCTAGCTTCTTGAATAATTTGCTCAGCATACACACTGAATAGGTATGGAGAGAGAATACAACCCTGACACACTCCCTTCCAGTTTTCCTTTGCTCTGTTTACACAACAGCCTCCTGGTCCAGGTATAGGTTCTGCATGAGCACAATTAACTGCTCTGGGACTCCCATTTTTCTCAATGTTAGCCACAACTTGTCATAATCCATACACTCAAATGCCTTTTCATATTAAATAAAGCACAGACAGACATTCTTCTGGTACGCGATTTTGTTTAACTTACTGCACTGGGCATTTCAGCTATTAAGGATTTCTTTAAAGTGCTAAGAACATCATTTGAAAGACTAAGGAGGCATCTTACCTAAACTATGACATTTTCAATTGTTTCATATGTATGTGGAAATTGGAGAATGAATAAGAAAGACTGAATAATTTATGCCTTTGAGTCATGGTATTGGTGAAAAATATAACATGGATATAATATGGAATATCAAAAGAACAAATCAATGTGTCTGAGAAGTGGTGCAGCCAGTCTGTTCCTTTGAAGTAAGGACGGCGAGACTTCATCTCACGTACTTCG